TCTTCAGATTCTTTTATTTCTGTACTTCAAGCATGACAGTGACCTCAAATTGTACCAGTTTTAAGGATTGATCATACAGAGACAGATGACATAGTAGAAAATGCACTGAACTGGTGTTGAAGAAATGGGTGTGGCTCTATCTTGACTGCCCCTTCCTGCCAGAATGACTTTGGGCAAAGTCTTTCACTTCTCTGGGCCACAGTTTCTCCATCTGTTAAAATCACTGAGTTGGCCTAAAATGAGCTCTAAGGTTCCTCCCAATTCAAACTTTCTACAGTACTCTGCCTCACAGACCCATTCCAACCAAGATGGGATCCTAGAGATTCAGATTCAATGTGGTACTCTTCTTAGGTCCCTAGGTGTTTCCAGGAGTAATAAATGTTCCAGAGGAGGCCCAAGATTTCTGCCAAATACTCTCCATACTGTCATTTAAGCCCAGGGCTTCCTGACACTGTTATTTGAAGTTGTTTGTCCTGACTTCAGTCCTGGTAATTTCTCAGCTTTAATAAGGGTCTTTCCTAGTAGGGAAAGACCTGATGTCTGTCCAGACCATCAAAACTCATGGTTGGAGCAGTCATTGGGAGGACCCAGTGTAATAATCTTACATATTCCATCTACAGGGATGAAGGACGTATTTGAACAGGCATCTGTACTGTATTTCTCTCTCAGTGAATTCCCTTTTTAGAATAGGATAGTAGAAATTTATAGGATTACAGGGAGAAATATCCATAAGAGCAACCTGTCATTTATATAAGTCAACTTGAAATGAAATTAAAGTGTGGTATTCAGGGGAATTGTAGTTTAAGGAATCAACCCAAAGTTTAATTTGAAGAATGTTTTTAGTATGTTGTGTATCTGGGTGAGTCTATCAAGTGAACATGAAGTCAAGTTTTTCTTGATTGATCATTTTAAGGTGGAAAATAGAAAGTTACATGAGAACTTAGCATTTACTCTGCCAATATGTTATGCAGTAGAAAAGAGTTGGGACTTAGAAGTAGAATAAGAGAAATGGTTGTAAGTTTGAAGACAGGTTTTCCAGTTGAGATCATTTATCCCCACTGCTGAATTCCAAAGGAGATTGTTCCAAACACCATTGAGCCCTGGCTGGACTGAGACTGTTCCCTACAGACTCTATGATGATTGCCTGAGGCTGCCCTGGAAAGGAAGCAGGTTTGGGGCAGGTTCAAACAAGAGCTCTTTGATCCAGTTGGATTGGAGTGTTAGAATGGTGAAGTTTCCAGAGCAGTCCTAGGATAAGGCACTGGGGAGGGAGTTATTAGATGTGTGTCACCAAACTGGAACTTTTGGGTAAACAGGAGGGATGCGTATAGGAAAAGATAATGAAATATTATTAAAAGCATTTGGGTCTCCTAACCTGTCATGCTTTTTAAGACTATTTTTTCTTGATTTATAGTAATAGACATGTATGTTGTGTTCTTGCACTGTGAGCAACAGTGGCTGTGCCTTATGCTTTTTGTTATTAATCTTTTAGTGATGAACCAGCATGAAGTAATTTATACAAAGAGAATGTTCCTATTTTAACTAAAAATTACCAAATAACCCATAAGGAAATTAACCTTACCTAAAAGTTCTCAAACTATTAAAGACTTAAATATAAAAACTAACTGTAAAACTCTTAAAAATAACAGGGGTACATCTTTCAGAACCTTGGATTCAGCAGTGGTTTCTTATATATGACACCAAAAGCAAAGGAACAAAGGCAAGAAAGATAAAATGGACTTCATCAAAACTAAAAATTATGTACATCCATGAACTACCAAGAGAGTGAACATACACCCCATAGAATGCAAGAAAAGATGTGCAAATCATATATCTGATAAGGGTCCAGGATCCAGAATACATAAAGAACTCTTACAGCAAACAATAGGAAGACACACACACACACACACACACACACACACACACACACACACACAAAAACAGTTAAAAAGTGGGCAAAGGACATTTTTCCAAAGAAGATATGCAGATGATCAACATGCACATGTAAAGATGCTCAACACCAATAGTCATTAGGAAAATGCATATCAAACCTGTAATGAGATACCATTTTATACCCAGTAGGATGGGTCCTAACAAAAACAAAACAATGCAAAACCAGAAATAAACAAGTATTTGTGAGGAGTTGGAGAAATTAGAACCTTCATACATTGCTGGTGGGAATATAAAATAGTACAGCTAGTATGGAAAACAATTTGGCAGTTCCTCAACAAGCTAAGCGTAGGATTGCCATATGACCTACTAATTCAATTCCTAATTATATACCCCAAAAAACTGAAAGCAGACATTGAAACAAAAATTTGTTCATGGATGTTTATAGAAGTGATATCACAATAGCCAAAGTGGAAATATCAAAATGTCCATCAATTTACAAATAGATAAACAAAATGTGGTATATCCATACAGTGGAATATTATTCAGCCATAAAAAAGAATGAAGTATGATACATGCTATAACACAGAGGAACCAGGGCGCCTGGGTGGCTCAGTCGGCTGTGCATCTGACTCTAGATTTTGGCTCAGGTCATGATCTCATGGTTTGTGGGATTGAGCCCCACATCAGGCTCCACACTGACAGCATGGAGCCTGCTTGTGATTTTCTCTCTCCTTCTCTCTCTGCCCCTCCCCAGCCAAATAAATAAATTAAAAAAAAAATGAGGAACCTTGAAAACTTGAAAACATTATTCTAAGTGAAACCAGCCAGACATAAAAGACTACATATTTTATGATTCCATTTACATGAAATATCCAGACTAGAAGGATCCATCAAGACAGAAAGTAGTAGTTATCAGGGGCTGGGGAGAGAAGAATGGGGAGTTCCTGTTCAAGAGGCATGGGGACTCCATTCAGGGTTATGAAAAACTTATAGAACTAGATAGTGGTGGCATTGTGACTGTATTGAATTCCAGTAAATTATACACTTTAAAATGGTTTAAAATGGGGGTGCCTGGATGGCTCAGTCAGTTAAGCCTCAGACTTCAGCTCAGGTCATGATCTCACAGTTCGTGAGTTCAAGCACTGCATCGGGCTCTGTGCTGACAGCTTAATGCCTGGAGCCTGCTCTGAGTTCTGTGTCTTCCTCTCTCTCTGCCCTTCCTCTGCTCATGCTCTGTCTGTCTCTCTCTCTCAAAAACAAATAAAAACTTTAAAACATGGTTTAAAATGGCAAATTTCATATTTTGCATATTTTACCACATGCATGTATGTGTGCACACGCGCACGTGCACACACACACACAGACACACACACACACAAGAAATTTCTAAACTTATATAAACCTTGTAGAAACCCTGGTAATGAAATACCTTTGACAAATGAACTCAGATTTGCCAACAGATTATATTTCAAGCACAGCTTTGGGACTGGGGAAAGTTTCTGGAAGTGAAAATGTACGTGACTGAGAGTCAGGAGTCCTATGTCTGGTCCAGGCACTGCTGTTACGTGGCAAGGGGCAAGTCATGTAAACTTTATGGGCCTCCATTAGGGGACCTGGACAAATTCTCTCAATCATGTGTGGGACCTTTTCAAGCTTCGCATATCTTCATTCACTCTGCCTCCTTACCCAGTATGAAGGGTAGAATATTTCAAACAGAATGCTCTTCCACCAGGTGAAGGGGGTGAGGTGGCACACACAGGGGTGGTTAGGGTACAAAGGTGTGCTCTTTGGCAAGCCTTTGCAATATTCCCAAATCTTGGAGCCAATTATGGTACTCCTCATATTTCTAAGACTACAGGAAGTAGGTTCATTCATTTCTTCATACAATGTCCACTAGCCAACATTTACTGCGCATACTCAGGACAATGTGAAGCACAGCTGAAAGACCCAGAGCCCCTGAATTTGTGGAGTGTATGTTCTGTGGGGAGGAAGTATCATGAAATAGCTAGTTACTGAGTGTGATGAGTGCTCTGAAGAAGTAAATGCGGCTGAGGATGAGTACTCCAGGCTTAGCTACGGCTGCTCTGAGGAAGTCCTGGTTGACCTGTTATCTACAGGGCGACTTGGAATTAACCAGGAAACCCAGGAAGGGGCACATTTGCTTCCCTGATGGAGAGAGAACTGTGAAGAGGATGGGAGAGTGGGTTTGGAGAAGACTATGAAGACAGCCTCGTTCTAGAATGTCACGCTGAACTGTGGGCAGCCTTGTTGAATTAAAAGGCCAGGGGAAGTGGCTCCCTGAGACCACAGTGGGCACTTCTACCAGCAGATGCTGCTTTCATGTCCCCACCATACCACTTCCTGTGCTCTGAGCTATGGAACCAGCAGTAACCACACAGCATTTCTGGAACTTAAAATGCTCCCCAGTGTCGGCTCTGACCTGAAGCCACCATTCCTCAGAGTCCTTAACATCTCCACAGCACAGGGCAGTGTGGGTCACAGAACAAGTGGCTGTGGAGTATGACACCCAGCATGCTGTGCGAATGTTGAGAGGATATTTCTCCTTTTGGTCTTTCAGTTTTCTGCTCATCAAACCAGTAAATCTGGGCTTTGAGGATGGTGGAACTACCAGACTTTTACGTAAAAAGTGAGGACAGACTTTTACTTAAGCCTTAGCAAGCCACTGGACTCGGCAAAGCCATTGCATGTATTTGGTAGGTGAACTGGTTCCACTTTTGCAGTGGAGGCCACATTTCCACACATTGGTAGAGCCCAAGGTGAAGAGCTCACACCTGTCTGTCGACTGCTATCCTCCCAGAAGCCTGCCCTGCCAAGCATGGCCATGACTGGAGGGCCCCGAGCTAAAACTCAGGTGTATGCAGTGCTCCTGGCTGACCTGTCCACTGTGCCACAGAGGGGAGGGGAGCAGTCATAGCCATGACTCGTGCTGCCCCATAAAGGAAAGGAGCTCATCAGTAAGCCCCACTTCAGACATCCCCGGTCCAAGCTCAAGTTTAGAAGCTTATGTGTCATCTTTTCTTTGTAACCATAAATCTGTGCTCTCAGGCCTAATTCTGTTGTGGTTTTTTTTCCCCCTTTGCTTTCAGGAGAGTAGATCTGGAGACACAAACAGCTGTGTTGAAGAAATAATTCGGGTAAGGAGATTTTTTTTTTTTCTTTTTACAAATCTTACCAATTGATTGGACTAGATCCCAAATAGAAGGAGGCATGTGGCTGTGTTGTCCAAGGAGCCTATTGTTTGCTTCTTGTTTGAGGTTTACCTTTTCTGAAGGCAACCATATAAGTTGTCCAAATGCCGCTTTACAAAAGCAATTCTTCTTTTAGAAATCTAGGAGTTACACATCAACCCAGTGCCTTTGTACAGGCTGAGGTGACACTGTATTAAAGTGATCAGCTGGGAGACAGAAGAACAGAGTTGAGATGAAAAATATGGTTGTGCTTACATTTGGATGCCCCCATTTGTCAGCCTACTATTTAAAAGCATCCTTTAATAGTCCTTACTTCCCAGTCAGGCAAGGGTTGCCTTGTTAGTTTTCTCCTAAACTTAATTAGAATCAGAAGCACTCTGACAAAGAGGTGATGCTCACTGTCTGAAAATTTATTTCCATATTGTTTTGCATCTTACCGTTTTTGCCTATTACTGTCTGACACTGTCCTTTTCATCATCATCATCATCATCATCATCATCATCATCATCTCTAGTAGATACCCTCCATGAACCAGTTTCACACCCAGATTCACTTAAGCTGGGCTCTCCTGCCATATTAGTGTTTTCTTGAGTATTCAAACTTGTAATCAGGATGTCATCTTCAACCCATATTTTTTCTTCACTCATATTTATTCAGGGGAGTGACCTAATAATTTACATTCTCAAAAAGCTGATATTACACTGGGAAAAACACCAAGACAAATTAGACCAGATGGGATGGCAATTCCCTATAAAGAAAAAACCTTTATTTTAATACGTTTCTAACTTTTGGACATCCTACACACTTTTTCTTGAATTGCTAATGAATGACAATAATATAATTATTTGGTTTAAAAATTTACATTAATCATCACATTGTTTTCAGAGGCAGATTTTTTTCCTTCCTGGAAAGCATTATTTCATAAACCTTTTAACTCTCAAGTTAACCAAAATAATTAATTGAAGTTTGATCTGTTGAGTTCGTAATGATTTTTGTTTTTCTGGCAGAGATTAATATAGAAAACAGTTGTCAAAGTGGGTAGCTTCATTTCTGGCATTTAATATATGTTAAATAAAATACATATTGTATTTTATATCTGTATTATCTCTAACCTGGAGCTTTGTTTCAGATTAAACAACAAATAGTGTGAAGTGCTGATATACTTGTCCTATTTCTCTTTTGACATACTTTCACGTTTGGAATCCAAATATTCAGTGATAAAGCCATCTTCCTTTGATTGGTTATGGTATTTATGTCAGCAAAATGCTAATAGCAGTACACATCTCTCCTTTGATTTCACTATTTTTAAAATCCGACCCCTTCTTATCCTTTCTTATCTTTTCTGAGGTTATGGTAGAAATCTGTCATTTGACCTTTCTTTGCCACACTCCAAACAAGGCTTAAAGTGTGAATACAGGCTTGAGCAATTCAGACACCAAAACGGTATAGTTTAGGTAACATAAAATTCACTTAAACTGAATGCTGCCGTCAAGAGGTTTAAGGCATTTTTTTTTTCAGAAGAGGGCTGAAGAAAGCCTTATACCCCCTCATCCCACTCCTACTTCCTGATATTGCCCCTCATATTCCACTGGCACTGGCACTGCCACAGCCACAGCCTGCCTGGAATCAGTCATGGAACAAAAGGGAAAGTCTGGACCAACCAGATCATTGATTTGTAAGCATGTGCAAAGGGCAGTGGAGATGATGAACTCATCAGAAGATAGCTGAGCTCTCTTTAATGTTCTGATCTTCCTAGAGCCCATGATGAGTGGTCCAGGATGGGAGATAGTATAGGGTCAGAGGAAACAGAGGTGATAGTGGTGCTGGTGTTGTCCAGGTGGGCCTTTTCTCTGTCCTCACCTGTCAACCTGTGGTGTTAGTAGCCTTAGTTGTTGCTGAGGGAGCTCCTAGATGATCATGCCAGTATTCCCAGTTTTGCCTGGAATGTTTTCCTGGCTGTCCTCTGCCTCGCTCACACCAGTCATTCTTCAGGGCTGTCTTCCCCACTTGTCCTAAGCATGTCCTCTCTTCCAAACACAAGCACAGGAGGCCTTCTCTGTTACAGCCTATTGTATTTATTGTATCTGCCAGATGTCAGTATTCCTTCCACACCATGGCCCCGATGTCTGGAATTGAGAATCAGGATCTTGTTGAATGAATAAATAAATAAGTGAAGGAAGGAAAGAATCCTCCAAGGGAGAAGGAAGAATATCATTGTGATAGCTCACAAACAGATTCCATTTACTCTAAATCATGGGCATGACGTATTGGCTTAAAAGCAGTGGGTTCCCATGGATAGGTAGTCTTTATGGAGCCCAGTTTTCGTTGTCACTTTCTCTCCCCTTATGATCAGTGAGGTAAACCTAATGTGGTCCAGGTCACCAAGGTACTTGGTACTTATAGCCATCTCTGTCTCTTATTGTGGAGAATGAGCAGGTCATAAAGGCGCCTTAAAATAATGAAAATTGAGATATTCATTTAACAAGTGTTAGCATGTCCTTTCCATGTGGGAGGTACAGGGAGAACAATAGCAGGCCAAACAGACATGACCCTTTTGAAACCAGTGATGTGCTGGAAGATATAGATACTAAGTTTTATTTGTAATCTTATAAATAAATGTCTAATATTAATTGTGACGAATACTCAGCGTGACTCTAATTTTAGGTCTTTCATGAGGAAGCAACATTTGGACCAATAGTTGGAGTTTGAATAGAAAATTGGTATAGGAGAAAAATGTTGAGGCTGCCAGCAGAGGAACAGGAATAGTTTGGCTGGTTAGGGACCCACAAAGGACAGTGAGCCCAGAGTGGCTAGAGTGTAGGTGGGAAAACTAGGCAGGAGAAGCCAGGTAGGGCTGTTTCTTCTCAGTCATGTTTAAGATATGTGTAGGGGAGCCAGTGAAGGAGCTGAGCCAGAGTAACGTTATCAGATTAGCTGTTTGGACACTCTACTCTGACTGCTTTGTGGAATGGATTGAGAGGAGAAGGGGAAGAAGAAAGAGGAGAGGCTGTTGCAGCTGTCCAGATGAGAGACGCTTGGTGGGGCGCTCACGGGCATGGAAACGTTGAAGGAGATGCTGGTTTGAGGGGGAGGGATGAAATAATTAATTTTCTGACATGTTGAGTTTGCACTACCTTTGAGGCAATCCAGTAAACATGGAGAATGTAGATGAGCATACATCCGTCTGGGGCTCAGAACAGAGGTCTAAAGCTGCAGGCTAATTTTGTTGGTAATAAAAGCACAGAAATGGGTTAATCTACCCAGAGAGAGGAGAGACCGAGAGGCAATGAAAGCTGAAATTCAAACGTGTAAGGGTCAGGGAGAGTAGGATCCCCTTGCAAATGAAAGTAAGAGGGCATGACTCAGGAAGTCGAGGAGTAATAATGGCCATGGGAAGTCCCAGAATCCAGGGAAAGAGAGTTTCAAGCTCAACAGTGTACAGGATTTCTGAGGGGAGAAGAGAGACAAGAATTGAAAACCACTCTATGGATTGGACAACAAAAAGCTCATCAGTGGTTTTATTGCATGCTGTTTCTGTGGAGTAGAGGGGGCAGCATCCAGACAAGAGAAAACTGAGAATATAGCATCAGTGAGTTGAAAGAACTTTTATGAGGAAAGGCCATGGTTCCCATTCAGGGCCTTTCCATCTGCAATCAATCCTATAGATAATAACAGGTACCAAATGATGAAGAGCTAACATTTGTGGAACATTTATTACAAACGAGGAACTGTTCTCAGTTTCTTGCTTGTGTTAACTCATTTAACCATCACAGATGCCCCATGAGTCAGGCACTGTTAACATCCCCATTTTACAGAAGAAGGAAGTTAAACACAGCTTGCCCAAAGGCATACAACTAGAAAGTAGTAGAGCTGGGATTTTAACGAGCACAGTCTGGCACCAGCACCCTCTCTATCTTATCTATCAAGCTTTCTTATTTAAATGAAGAAGTCCCCCTGGCTCAATAATGAAACCACTCAGGCATTTTGCCATGAAAGGGAGGTTTCCCATTTCCACGTGTTTATGATTCGGAAGTGCCAGATCATGCATTTGTGCACTTGAACTCACAGAGGTTTTATGGCCAACGTTATCAACCTCATCTTTAAACTTCTTCTTCCTTTCCTCTCTCTTATTTTTGCTGAGGTGACTGTTTTCAAGCCATTTGAATATTACATTATATTCTAAAGTGTAATTATTTTTTACTCTTACTCAGAGAATTTTAACCCTGGGACCTAATAAATCTGTCTATTATTGCAAAATTCAGTTAACCGAGGGAGAAATTATAACTGAGTTCTATGAAGATGGGCGACACAAGCTAGGAACCCTCATGGCTGACATATGTTTGTAAGAGACAGTTTTTTAAGTTACACTATATTTCATTCTTAAAGGTTCCAGTGCTGTAATACTTAGGTGCTTTCTGTAGCATTATCCATTAACGTAGAATGGCATTAACATTTGTTCAGCAAATAAAATCCGTTTACAACTTAATGGGGTTGTGCAGGGCTGGAATCTAGGATGCACAAATTTTATGCAAGACAGCTTTAGATGGAGTTGTTGAGGAGTACTACTCATGGCGTGGTGAGCCTTCCTAATAAAGAAACCAATGATTGAGATTCTGGTTTGGGCTCAAAGGATGAATTTAGAGACAATTTCCACATAACATCAGAGCCGATTATCTTCTTAGTTTTCATCTTTAGTCACTAATTCAGTTCCAACTTCATAGAAATCTTTATAGTGAATATTTACATAGAGTTGCATTTCTGTTGGTAGGAAAAGGGTGACTGTTACTTGTTTGAATTCTGGAGACCCACATCAATTTCTTGACACTACAGTTGAACAACTTCTAGCCCAAAAGGAAACTCCTTTCCTAGAAAGTTAAGGAGCCTGCTGGACAAGATTTTTGGTTTTGATTCTGGGAGATCTGTGAGTGAGGAAAGCATTGAAAGCA